TTTTCCCGCCCTTTTCGTGTTTCCCGCCCTTTCCGGCTTAAGCTCCGCCCCATTTCCCAGCGCGCCCCCGCGCGCTATTTAAGGGCTCGTGAGGCGGCGCGTCGGCCATTTTGTCTCTGAGGCGACCGCGGGAGGTGGGTCTGAGGTCGGTCCCTGAGGGGGCTCTGAGGGCCCTCTGAGGGGTCTCTGAGGGGCTGAGAAGGTTTCTGCAGCCGCTTTTTCCCCCTCCCCGAGCCGGCGAGGGAGCGCCCGGCAGCGCCGATCGCCTCAGAGCGCCGCCATTTTAGGGGCCTGAGGGGCTCCTGGAGGGGCCCTCGCTTCCCCGAGGGGCTTTCGGGGGCTTTTCGGGGCTGAGGGGGGCGGCCGGGCCGTGGGGGCTGCTCGGGGATGAGTCTCTCACAGACCTGTGCTGACCACGCGCTGAAGAGTTTTGAGTTCTCTGAGGGCTCGTCCCGCCCCGGCCTGAAGTTCGAGTGCTTGATATTTAGTTTATTTGTGTTTTTAACGATTTCTTTTGTGTTTTGTTCTCAGGTTTTGAGGTTGCAGAATGGCCTCTCTGCGCGAGGTGAGCTTTAAACCCGCTTTTTGGGGTGGAAAAATGCTGGATTTGAGTAAAAAGGGCAGCAGTGCTGCGGGGATGATCCACTGAACTCTCTCTTGCTGATGGTCTGGTGGAGAAGCTCCTGGAAACGCTCTGAGTGGCACTGACACGAGTGGGGGGGTTTAAACCATCGATGGGGGGTGAGACCCTCGTTTAAATCTCCTGGGGAACTTTAGACCCCCCCCCCCATGGGGGATTTAACCCTCGTGGGAAGGGTTTAGAGCCTTTAAAGGGGGGTTAAAACCACACTGAGAGGGTGGAAAACCCTCGAGGGGGGATTAAATCCTCTTGGAGGTGGGAGTTAATCCCACGCGGGAAGGTTTAGACCCACGTGGGAGGGACGAGAGACCCCCGTGGGAGTGAAAGTTTATCCCCTGGGATGGTTTCTTTGGGGCTCTTTGTCCCCAAAACACCATTTTAATGTAGTTTTTTTTTCGTATTTTTAAGCCGTGGAACCGTCACGGGGGTTCCCCCCAGCCCCTGTCAAGGTGAGCACCCTCTTTATGTCCCTTTTTTATTGGGATTTTACCTTAAAATTTTTGTGCCCTTTTCCTCCCCAGCGAGGAGCCCAAAAAAGCTCTAAAATTCCTCCTCCCCCTCCCCCGGTGGAAATTTTGGGTTGAATTCTCCCTTTTTTTGGGCTGTTCGATGACGAGTGACAACGACAAGCATATGGCTGAGGGACCTTGATGCCACATGATTTCTGAGAGCAGCTGGGGAGTGGGTTAATTAGTTAAATAATAGCTAATAACCCAGAGATTAGTAGTAAACCGTAAATAATTCCTCATTTTTTTAGGGCCGAGGTAGTGGGAGAAGAAAACGTTGGTGGATGAGGTGACTCAGAGTCACCCCCAGAGTGATTCTGAGACCCCTCAGGAGGTCAGTGCCCCCCAAACCCCCCTCAATCCCCTCCTAACCCCCCCAAATCCGAAGCGATGACACCCCGGGCTGGAGGACACGTCCGATGGCAGCTCCAAGTTACCAAAGCCCTGATCGGATTTGGGGAGGGGGTCAAAGACCCCCCTAAACACCCCCCCAACCCGTGGGGGTCTGAGCACCCCCTGATTCCCCTCTTTTCTTCCCCCCACAGATGATCCAGGTGGGGATCCCCGAGGGGCCAGGTGAGTTTTTGGGGGTCCCAGGGGTGGTTTTTGGGATCCCCCAGGGTTAAAAACCACAACATGGTGGATTTGGGGGGGTCGTATAGCTGGATTTGGGGTCCTGGGGTAGAAATGATTGCCTTGAGTCTGGGATTTTGGGGGTCCTGGTGATGGGTTTGGGGGGGTCCTGACTTGGGGTGACCCCCCTCCCCCCCACCCCCCTTAGGTTGGTTTGGGGGGAGTCTTTTCAGTGTTTAAAAATTTTATAAATTGTCCTGTAGGGAGTTATTGAGGTCCCTGATGTGGGTTTTGGGGTCCTGGGGATGGTTTGAAGGGTCCCTGGGGTGGGTTTTGGGGATGAGTTTGGGTGTCCCCCAAAGGTTCCAACCCCCCCCACGGTGAGTTTGGGGGATCCTAGATTGGGGTGACCCCCAGGGGGATGTTTTGGGGGGGGGTCCCGGCCCCCCATGAGGAAAACCCTCCATGTCTGACCCCCCTGACGGGCCCAGGACCTGCCAAGGTGGAACCCACTGGTGCCCCCGGGGGGGACACGAGGAGAGCCGGTCCCGTGGGGACGGTCTGAGGGGGCCGGGGGGGCTCCTTGGGGGGAATTTTGGGGTGTTGGGGGCACATCTGACCCCCCCTTTGTTCCCTTTGCAGGTTCATTCCAGCGCTGACCCCCCCACCCCACCATGGGTGGATTTTAGGGGGTCCCTCAGGGGGTCATGAACCCTCCCACAGGTGGGTTTGGGGTCCTGGGTGGGTGATTTAACCCCCCCAGCGAGAAATTTTGAGGGTCCCTGAGTTTTGGGGGTGACTCTTCCCCTCTTGGGGGGTGTTCTGGGTTTAGGACCCCCCCAAAGGATCAGTGGGGGGGGTCCCATGGGTGGGGTGACCCCTCAGGTCCTATGGGGGGGGGTCAAAGGACCCTGGGGTGGGTTTAGGGGGGTCCCATCGTGATTTTGGGGTAACAACTCCCCCCCCCCACAAATGGGGGTTGGATTTGGGGGGTCCTGGGCTGGTTTTTTGGGTGATCTGGGCGTGTTTTGGGGCCCCCCTGGGCGTGATGACCTCATGAATCTCGTTCGGCTGAGGCTGCTGCTGAGAACCTCTGGCCTGACCCCGGGGTGGGGAGCCCTTCCCCCCCCTTTTTGGGTCCCCCAAAATTCCCAGAGGACCCCCCTGACCCCCCCAATTTGTGTCTTTTCTTCCCCTCCCCCTCCTCAGGTGACTTTAAGGACCCTCAGGGACAAGGTATGTAAATAAGGGGGGCGTGGTTTTGTAAGGATGACGTCATCCTCCTGATGACGTCACCCAGGTGGAAAAGAGGGGTCCCCCCGATTTTGGTGATGACGTCACTAGCTCACTTTGACCCCACCCCCTGAAAACACCCGAACACCTGAAAAATTGGGGAGGGGGGGACACCGGGAGGGGTCTGAGGGGAGAGGGGACCCCCTGAGACCCCTCCCCCCTCTGCTGTCCCACAGGTACCGGGGAGACCCCCATGGGGGAGGGGCTCAGGTGAGTCTGGGGGGGCTCTCAGAGGGATTTTGGGGGGTCCAGGGTGGGTTTTGGGGTCCCCCCCGTGCCGAGGATGAGGCGATACCGCCCCAGACTGAGCCCCGTGACTGAGTGGTTCTCCCTGAGGCTCTGGGGGGGG